TTAATGTTTGGTGAATACATTCTCCACCTTAAGAAACATATGCATACATTTGCATGATTATTTTTGTAAGTGACAACTGTTTTACATAAGAAAAGCAACACAGAAGAAGGTCTTAACATGTGTAGAGCATGTGTATGAATACACAATTCATAGATTTAGCCTGTTATCAAGCAATGCTTTCTTGTGCACAAGCTTGTATATCATCTAATTCTTTATAAACCACAGACAAGATAATAAAAAGGCCCTGGGCATGTGATAGTGGAAGTGCAAAGGATAGACAGATGACAACAATTATATAACAAACAAAACAAACCAGTTTCATGAAGGAAATATTTGAGAGCTTTGATATCATTTTTATAATGTAGCTGTAGCTGACAATTGCCTTTTCCTACCCAATAGCCATTCTGGTCCTTCTTTTCTTCCCTGCTAATGTCACCTTTCATCTCAGGATATCCCTTGATCTCAGGGAAGATAGGATAAGTTCTCTAATTCGGTTGCAGAAAATAATTCATGATCAATTTAAAGCAGTCTCTTTTCTTTTGGTTGGTATTGTCCAAAGATGTGCATATGACCCAGTTCCAGCCACTGAGATGTCTGTAGAGGTCAGCTTGAGAGGGGAAATAAAATGTCCCTATACAAGCACAAATGAAGGCTGAACTTAGCAAAGAGAAATCTACTTCTGCTTCCCAAGTCTACCTGCCTTCGTGTGCATGGGGTAGTTGTAGGTGCAGCAACATTTTGATACCCAAAGGGAAAAGGCAAGACAATCACAGATTTAACCCTGATATCATTGAGTCGATGAACTAACACCACCAACCTCCTACTCCTGACCTTCATTATGTGATTTTAAAAAGTAATCACTATTTGTTTAAGCTAATGCATTTAGATTTCCTGATGCATGCAATGAAGTACATTTCTAACGCTTACAATAGCACAGGCACAGTTTTCTCAGGATAACTACATTTGGAGTGAGGGAAATAAGCTGGGAGACCTGTTCTATTTCTCATTTCGGTTGAGTGCAATGGGTCTCTATTATATTAGTAATCAGGACAACAAAAACTGAGATTTTTATGATCTCTTGTTAGGTACAGACATTTCAAACACAAGATCAAGACCAAGTATACAGTTGGTTGTATACTCAAAATTGTGCCATTTGGGCATTAATGAAGCAACGTGAGTGTTTTTAGTAAAACAAATGTATGAGAGTCTTTCTGTTTCTTCCTACCGGAGAAGCTTACTTTTTCATCTATAACACTAATCTGTAACAGAACTATGTGGTAAAAGATAACATTATTTGAATATACAATCAGTCTATAATTAACCAGAGATGACAATTATAAATAACACTGTGTCTCAGAGTTTCCAAGAAACCTGACACACACAGTTCTTGGTTATGTTGAAACACTTCCAAGAAAAGTAAAGAAATGAAAAATCTTTTAGAAGTCTTCAATTAAAATGTGCTTCAGTAAAAATGACTTTCTTGATGTGTTTTGGTACAAATCACTGGAAAAACATTTGTCCCTGTCTTTACACCTCTAATTGTTTTCACTGTCCAATTACAGCTTTTCAGAATTAAGACCTTCTAGTTGGGACAACTACGTTGGCTATTTGAAATGTGAAGAAAAGATAATGTGCATAAGCTTTGTGTACCCAAGAAAACAGATCTCCACTGCAGGATTCCAATTATCTGGATCTCAGGTCATAGTTTCTGTCACCGTTTAGACCAATGTAAAGCACCAGGCTGAATATCTTTTTTGCTCCTTTTCCTTTCTCCCAGCTTCCTTCCCATCCTTCTTTCTGCTCAATCTCCCCCACTCTTTACATTTCATGTATTTTCTGGGTTTAGGGAGTTAAGAACATTATTTTACATAAAAAAATGATGTTTTGTGATTCAAATGATATGAGAAGATGATAGTGCAAAACGTTAAGAGGAATTTATCATATATTCTGTTTATGGCTTTCATTAAGAACTACAAAACAAAATTTCAGTTACTGATCTACAATATGCATTGACCACGGACAAAGATGAGTGGTCATAAAAATCTAATAAAAAGGTAGTATTAGCAAAATAACACAACATGCATAGTATTGTTGTTTCATTTAGAATAACAAGTGTCCACTTTTGTAAGCTCTGGTATATGTCATCTGATGAGCTAAGCAATATGGAGTTTTTATTCAGTTCCTATAGGTGGACTCACATAAATATGCAACGATTAACGCTCAAAATAATAATTTGATCTAAACTATAAGCTCAATAAAGGCAGAGGCCATGCTTTCTGGTACAATATAATACCTCCCCACACAGCACCGTCCCTAATACATAGTAGGTGCCAGTGTTGAATAATTACTAATTAAAAGACACAAATTTGACATTATTATCTAATTCACATGAGTTGCACAGATATAAATGGATCATTAATTTTGTAGAAATGACACCCAAGCTAGTTCAACAGGAAAAGGCAACGTAACCACAAAGTACATTAATTCCCACTTCAAAGAGCTTCAATAATCTCAATTTCATTCTCAGATATCAGGGTAAAATAAGAGATGAGTTAATTCAGATCCTTCAGTTGAGAAGCTTCACTTATACAAGAGTTTGTCATACTATTACAATAATGGAACTGCTTCATTTTCACGATTTAAGATTTTCACTTAAAAACCTATAAAAATACAAAAATATAGAAGCTTCACTTATACAAGAGTTTGTCATACTATTACAATAATGGAACTGCTTCATTTTCACCATTTAAGATTTTCACTTAAAAACCTATAAAAATACAAAAATATAAAAAGTTCAAGATGTTACTCAATTACATTGAAATTGCATGGTGAAGAGATCCGGGAATGATAACCTTCTTGAGACTAGACATCCTAATTGGCCAACAGGTTTTGGTAGGTATTATTTCAGAAATAAATTTTTTTTTTAAGAAAGTTGTTATAACTCTACAAAAGAGAAAGAAAAATTGAAGCAGTAGCTTTCAACAGACAAAAATCTCACTGTCGCAAACCAAATAGGAGGTGCTAATCAGAGAAGTAATATAAAGCATGATCATGGAGGTGGAACGAGAAGTGGAAACAGCCCCTAACAGTGGACAAGGAGGAATAAAGTGAATGCAGATGGTTCCACTCTAAGTGTTACTTAATCAAACGGCTGTGCAGAGTCACTGGAGCCAGAATAAAGTCATGTGTTAGAACAACAGCTGATCTGTATTAGAGAAGATTAACTCACAGTGCCATGGTGGAGGGCCCAGGATTATTTTATGTACTTCCATTGCCTTACAAGCCGTCAGCACAATTATTGCCCTCCGATGTGAATGACTGATCTGTAACCACAGCTAAACAGCATGCTGCTTAGGGGCCTAGGAGCTTCATGAAGATGAATTTCCATACCATCAAAGTGCTTTTAATGGGCTCCCTGATCCAACCACAAGGCCTGTTTTGCAAGTATATAGAACTCAGGATGAAGGCTTCCTGTCCAAAAGGATTTGGTCGGTTGTCACTTGACAATTCCCAGCCAGCACAAGGGAAGAGAGGGGGGAGATAGGTAGAGTTGTCTCTGCTTTGGAGGATTAAAAAAAAAAAAAAAGAGTACAGATGCTTGCTGAATGCAACCAACTGCTGTATCCACAGCTGAATTCAATGCGCTTAACAAATAACGGCAATTTAGCTATGCTTGCGAGGAATAGCTTGAGTCACTTTGCATTAGCATCTGGCTGAGTGTTAAACTCATTTCTACATGGGGAGCAGAGAAAAGGAATTTCTGTTCAAGCATCCTTTCAAGAATGTTTAAATATTTGAATATAAATTCCTTTATGCTTGCTATCATTCCTTCTTAGAGCTGTCACTTTGCTTCTCCCCTTCCCTTCTGGTGCTTAGCTGTAAAAACGTTGTGCCCTTCTCACTGCACCAATGTCGTACTTCTTGTGTTGTGTGACCGCAAGGAATGTATACTGACCCACGCTTTGCTCTCCCCTCTGGAGACAGAACAGAATTGAAATCATTTCTCCATCCCATGTTAGGACCAGAGAAAAAACAGTTGTGACAGGATCATCCATACGTTTCACCTTCACTATGCATGTTGCTAGCTTCTTAGTGGTTAAACATCAAATTCCATGTAAAACCTGGGAAACCAGAAAGCTATCCAAATTAGCAATCTGCTCATTCTGGACAATTCTGTTTGACTTATAAGCTTCCCATAATGATTAACCTTCAAGTTATTACTAAGTAGCTGATCATTTTTTCTCTTATCCACTGAATCTATTTATCTATAGGATTATGTAAAGATGGTTTGGTAACACTCTAAAATTACAATTCAAAACATATCAAATATTCCCCAAAGAAGTACATCACCCTGAACATTCTATAATAACTTGTAATCTTTTTCTGAATAAAATGCAATGTAGGCTTCAACGAAAGAGCTTGAAATCATTATATCACAGATAAATTCACAAGTTTCATTGGCCCTAAGTATAATAATGTCAAAAGTTTTGAAAAGCACATTTTGTTTCATGATAAAGTCAAATTTTCCAATTGTGCAGTCACCTAACACTTGACAGCACTTTGCACTGGAAACATATGACAAGCTCGGGATCCTAAATACTTAGAATATGAGCCTGGGTATCATCCAAGCTTATGCTGATTAAAGAAGATTCGGCATTTTCAAATCCAGCTCATCCCCAAATACAAGTTAAGCATCTCTGTAAGGCAGAACTTTCACTCTGACTGAGATATTTCAAATGCCACTTCATTTTAATACAAACTGGTGGCATAAAAGAGGATACTAATTGTCAATAAGGTTTGGAGATGAACAAAGAAAAGTGTAACCCTTCCCATTTCCAGATGGTTTTGATTAGGATAGGCATGGGGACTTCTCTGTTGATGAAGGGGAAAAAAGGAGAGAGAATCATCATTCTGAATATAGTAAGAACATGAAAAGATAAAAGGGAAAAGCATTCAGAAAATTAACTATTTCTGGAAAGTAAGCTATTTTATGAACTAACCTTTTCGGTCCGGCAGTTATTGAGACCTAGACTATTCACAACAGCCACCTTCCCATCAAGCACCTGTTGTTCCCGCCGAAGTTGCTCCTTCATCTGCCGAGCTTCCTGGATTGCCTTGGTGACAGCATCATGGTCATTTAAGTAACCTGGAAATGTGACAGATCAAAAGATATGTTTTGTACAAATGCATGGATTGGCTAACTTTTAACCATAAAAATCACTTTTTTGGGTAATGGCTAGTGTCTGGCATATAATAACTTATCCATGGAATTTGTCTAAAATGAATGAATGAATGAATGATTAATTGATAATGACTGATTTACATAGTCATACATGAACATGTTTCCAAACATCTGTAATAAAAATATAACATTTAAGTAAGTAAAATATGGTTGTTTCCACGTATTTGGAAAGAAGTTTAAAATATTTTAAAGTTTTAAATTATCTGAATATTTTATAGTGCAAAAATAAAACCTAGCTTTGATTTTTTTCCATGCAAGGAATATTTGAATGTTACCATAGGATAGAGGTTTTGATAATTATCATTATGATTATCGAATCTCTTATAGTATTAGAAAGGTCAGTTTAGAGTTTGTGTATAGCAACTACTATATTAGGTTTGCTATATACAGGAGGAATAAATCATT